AACAGGTAATTATAACTGTGTTGCAGATTGGAGGATCTGAAGGTCTGATAGAATGATGAAGAGATCATTATGACCAAATGATTATTATTGAGACTTTGAGAAACAAGCAAAAACTGGGGATCAGGGAAATAATATTTATTGTGGGAAAACTTTGTTCTTATGATATTGGCTATAATTACCATAATAATTAATTATTAATGTGTCCTCTAACAATAAAAAAGACTTGGCAATTTCTCTAAATCCTATCTATATTTTTCCAAAGGTACTTCTCATGTCTCACTTTGTACTGCTTTTTTGATCATTTGACCAACTTTCTGCTGCAGAAATTTGCTCTTTTTCAAGTATTCACTATCTCCCTGGATGGCACCACCATCTGCTGGGTAGCCCAGGAAATACTATGAAGCTCCATCCTTGAATCTTCCTTCCTTGTTGCCCTGATGTCCAGATAATCTGAATGGCTGTCAGTTCCATCCATCTTTATCTTAAACTGGCTCATCCTTAGTATCATCCTCCATCACCTCCTTTCTCTAGCTGAGCCGTTCTCTCTCTTCCTGCTGTTTTCTAATGGTCTCTCAACAAGAGAAATCATTTCCTACACAGACTTTAGAAATATCTTTCTAAATGTAGATGTGGCTCCCTTTTCCTACTCAAATCTTTTCAATGATCTCATTGTCCTAAAGACAAAGCCAACACCCTCCGGATGTAACTTCCAAGGCTGCCACTACCATGGCTCCCTGATTCCCCCTCAGTATTTCCATCTTCACCTCTCCTCCTGCCTTTCTTCTGCCTCCCCACGCCACACAACATACAACACACTATTCTATCTAGAGTCTTTCAAACCACTTTCAGTTCAGCTCTCTCTTAACCTTGACCTTCTCTTATCCTGTTACTTTCCCATGGAATGCTCCATTTACCCCTCCCTTTCCTCAGAACCAGAACCAGATCACTTTTTTCTTTTATTGGGATTGCTCATTTACTATTAAATTTGCATCCTATCCTACAGGTTCACTTTATCCACACGTGGTGAGGCTGCCCGAGGGTTGGACACTGCCGAGGTCACTGTTACAACCTGTAACATCAGGAAGATGTCTGATGAATGCTAAGCTAATCAAACTTCTCTTTAAAATTCTTCTCTTCTCTTTAAAATTCCTTCCACACACGTAACCCTGTGAAAATCAAGTAAAGTATGTGTGGTGGGGGTGGTCTTGGAGAGGTAAAGTATGCTGATTTTCAGTGAGATGGATGGAAGTCTTGTTTTCCATGCAGTCTGCTCAGCATCAATATGACTTGAAGATCTAGCGTAGAAACCATGGTCTAGGTTTCTGGGTTGCTGTTATTCTATCTAATGGCAGTGGTCATGTTGTTGCACTTCTGTTGATATTTAATAAAACTCAGAGAACAGCATGCAAAAGGCAGTACTGATTCCTGCTGAGAGAAAAAGGGAAGTAAGTGAACCATCTCCCAAGCAATTTCAAATGTTTCTGCTGTAACCTTAATAGCATAATTTTAACTTCTTGGCACTGGATGAAGTCAATGTTGGTGTACTTTGAACTAACGCATTATACTGGAAAATTGGATCCAGAGGTAAAGTAGAGTTTTCTTTTCTTAGAAGTTGTTTAGCCAAGATACACAATCCATGAACAAGAGTAATTTGGTGAGAGTACTAGAAAAGTGTGTATCTGGATAAATACTTGTTTTTCCCATGTTCTAAAATACTAATGCTTTCTTCCTTCAGGTTATCATTTATATTTACTATTATTTTTATTTTATATTATTTCATGTATTTTAAACTGCAAACTAATTTATTTTATTAAGAATATTTAGAAATACCCATTTAAATTGATACTTCTTGCATGAATAAAATTTTAACAATTACACCTGATTGTGAGGAACTAAGGATGCATCTAAAGCTTCTAGCATCTAAAAAAACCACACTTAGTTTCTAGTTTTAAGAAAGTGATGACAGCTTTTCCTTTTTAATACTTCCAGACTTTCCAAGGGTCATTCAAGTCAACTGTATGCTAATAATTGAATTGGCATTGTGCTGGCTTGAGGTATGACCAAATCCATGGATATGGATTACCAATCACACTGTTGGCAATTTAGACAAATTAATGACTAATATTGCATTGGGTAATGGTAACCATTTTCAGATCAATAAATAATATCTAATTACTAATTAAGACAGGAATATAGATAAAGAAAGATTATATGAAAGACGATAGATTCACAGTAAATAGTTTCTAACTAAAACCCAAGTATCAGTAAGAGATTACTGGGAAGGGATTTATTTGAGTAACCCCCCCCCCATAATTTAGTGTTATTTTTCTTCTGAATGCTATCTGACACATTTCACTCTCTGGAGTGTGTAACCTGGGCTAGAACTCTCTCAGGACCCAGCTCCCTCACGATCTTTTTGGTGTTCCCTGTATGAACCATGGTGGAAACATCTCAAATGGGCTCTGTTTTAGGGATTTGGTCCTTTGCTTCCATAAGGAAGAGACCAAGAGATTAAAGAAATAAGAGCAAGGCAGACACACCATGGTTTTGATTTTTCTCTTTTCATTTAAAGAGAAAGATTGATGGATTGTGGTCTTTAACCAGCCATTATATATAAAACAGTATTTAGATGCTTTCTTTGCTTACTAACTTAACACATCACTGACTATAATTTCATTACAAAGTGCTTGAACCAGGGTTTGGAAGATTTAGATAGAGGCAAGTCTGGAGCTTTGCAAGCAGAACAAGGGTGACAGCACCATATTTCCATGAGCTATAAATCTGTGAAGAGACGATGCAAGTGTGTTATAAGGAAGATCAGATGGTTGGGAGTAGATTCAGACAATAATGTGTTGTCGCTTTGGGCTAGATATTTCACCCCCTCAAGCTAGATGTTTCAGGGTACTGAACTCAATCTTTTCTTCCTTCTTTCCTTTTAGCTGTGGTCCTTTGACTATGTAATCTTAAGCAGAATCTTAGTTTCTACAAATATCTGTTCATTCTGTCATTCAACAAATACTTATTGAGTACCAACTATGTGTTGGGCACTATTCAAGTGGCTGGAACATGACAGATAAATTGCAGTAGATATGATGAGGTAGATACAGAGCTGAAGAACAAGGATCTAGTCTTCAGGATGACCTCCCTGTCATCCCCTGAGTCTGACAGTGGCCCAGAACATTCTTTTCTGAATCCTAGTTTTACTGGAGGACAGTCTGAAGATCATGGAGATCTCCCTTATCCTTCTAATAATCTCTGGTTCTACAAACAGAGGGTGTACATTCATTGGCCACTGCAGTTGCCACCACAAATGCACCCAGTTCTTGGTGTAGTGAATCATCCTATTGCAGCTGACATTTCCTTTCTAGATGGTACCCTACTTTAAAGAGAAAGAGGCAAAAGAGTCACATTTTAATTTTATTTTTTACTGGAGGATAATTGCTTTGCACTTCTGTGCTAGTTTCTGCTGCACAACAACATGAACCAGCCATAAGTATACGTACATCCCCTTTCTCTTGGGTCTCACTCCCATTCCCCCCGCCATTCCACGCCTTTAGGTCATCACAGATCACTCCCTGTGCTATACAGCAGATTCCCACTCGCTATCTATTTTACACGTGGCAGTGTGTATATGTTAATGTAACTTTCTCAATTTGTCCCTACCCCGTCTGTCCCCCTGCTGAGTCCACAAGTCTGTTCTCTCCATCTGTGTTTCTACTCTTGTCCTACAAATAGGTTCATAGGTACCATTTTTCTAGATTCCATATAATGTGTTAATGTACAATATTTGTTTTTCTTTTTCTGACTTACTTCACTCTGTATGACAGACTCTAGGTTCATCCACATCACTTCAACTGACTCAGTTTCACTCCTTTTTTAAGGTTGAGTAATATTCCATTGGATATATGTGCCACATCTTCTTTATCCATTCACTTGTTGATAGACATTTAGATTGCTTCCATGTCCTGGCTGTTGTAAAGAGTGCTGCAGTGAACACTGGGGTACATGTGTCTTTTTGAATTATAGTTTTTCTCAGTATATATGCCCAGTTGTGGGATTGCTGGGTCATACGGTAGATTTATTTCTAGCATCTTAAGAAATCTCCATACTGTTCTCCATAGTGGCTGATTTTATTTTAATGAGATTTTGCCTCTCCATTTTTTGCTTTCAGTGCTGAGGTTCATTTTTATTTCACTACAGAGGTCATTAATGGCCTATGATCTACCTTTTTTTGCAAGACTATTAAAGGAATTCTTAACCATGTGTTCCAGTTTTAACAAGTAATGGCTCCCCTTTGAGGAGACCTTGTACATCCTGTTTGGTACTTGAATAAGTTAAACCAGAGCTGAAATATATTCTAATTTCTTACCTGGGTATTAAAAAAAAAAGGCCAGAAAAGGAGGAGCAGAAGAAAAGCAGTTGCCATCCAGGATTTATAAGGAATAGTTACATTTGACAGCTAAAATATAAAACCACTTATCTTCGCTGCCAGTCAAAGATAATTTCCTCTGGTTCCTTCTATTTGAATTTGCCCAATAATGGACAAGGTGTTTTTCTCTTAAGAAGAGAAGGTAGTCTCTGAAATTATATGAAATTTAAATGATTTAAATCCTAGCTAGAAAATTTAGCTTGAGATCTAATGGTGATCATCACCTTCTATTCCGATAATATTTCATTTCCCACACCTGCCTTCTAGAGCTGTTTCAATCATGAGTAACAGTGGGGGAGAGAAACGCCGCACATTAAGTGTGCAGCAAAGGTCTTAGTAGTTATGAGCCAAGCTGGAAAGTGGAACAACCTTCACCGCAGGTCTGGACCTGCAGGGTGCTGCCCTGACAGCACCGAACTCGGCAACCTCACACTCTCTGTGGCTTAAAAGAGACTCGATCTTTCTCACGGTACAATCTGAAAGCCAGCTTCATAGATACTCTATTTCTGGAAAGCCATGCAGCCAAAATTATGGGAGATTCTTGTGGTGGTGGTTGTGTTTTTTGATGCAGGACAAAGCTCATCAGCGATGAGGCTGGTCTGCGTGAAGTCTCCGCATCCGCTGACAGCGGGCCTGAGCGGAGTCCCCTTTCTGCCGCAGGAGAGGAGGAGCATCCTCCCCAGCAGCGGGAAGGGGGCTCAGGGCCTGGCGTGAACCCTGGAGAGTCAGCGCAGAGTTTCGGTGAAGGAGGGAAGCCGAGCTGGCACTTGCCCGCTCTGGAGCAGGGGTGGGCCCGGGTGCTGTGTCCCAAGAAGAGGAAGGAGGCTTCGTGGGCAAATCCCCCGCTTCCGTCCGCCGTCCGTCACGTTATCCTGCAGAGCTGAGCACATCCTGTTTTCCTGAAGTCTCCTCGTCACCCAACGCCTGGTGTTTAGCGCAGAGTTGGCGGGGGTTTCTTAGGTCTTCTTTCTCTGTACACCCAGCATTCCCTCACCCCGACTCCATTCTCCTCGCTTATTTTTTCCAGAAAATGTATGTAACTTTCTACCTGCTCCTTGGTTCCACTGCTAACTGTGTGTCTCTGAAGGCTCATGATGGATCTCTGCTAAACCATGGGCTAAAGGTCTCCTCCTTTAGAGGTAGAGAAAGGGCAGGATTTTAAAGTCATTCTTCCTGCTTTCCTTTCCCACACATTTCTGATGGGAACTGAGAAGGGTGTAGACACGCGTGCCTCCAGAGGAACTTCCCTTCCTCCGCAGCCCCACCCCAGGCTACAATGCAGTGGCTAAATGAGTTCCGTTCTAATCACATCCCCTCCATCCTCTTTGTTCCAGAGCTGCGTTTCTTTAACACGATTCAGTTCAAAGTAAACCGTCACGTGCCCTTGTATGGCTCTAATCAAAGATCTCTTCAAACTAATACACTCTCAGGTCAAGTCCCTGTCCATAATCATGAATTAACAGTCCACCCAGAAAAGTTAGGGGCCTGTCCAGAACAGGAAAACTCATTCCCCATAGAAAGCAGTTAGTGTTAAATGCTGAGTGAGGAAACAGTGATATAGAATATATGAGCTCTGCTTTCTCAATATCCTGCACTTCCTCACAGCCTTTATCGCAATTGTCATGCAAGATTTATCTGGATATTATTTGTTTAGCAGCTTGTCTTCACGCTGCATCATCCCTTTGGTCCACGGTCCTTGTTGGACTTTGGTTACCAGTGCATCCCAAGGAGAGAACCGTGAATCCAGAAATTCAGAGAGGAAAGCCCTGCTGTCATTTGTGCTGGCCACCCGCCGTGGACCCCAGGGAAGCCTTCTCAGAGGTGTTTTGGATCCAGCGGGAAAGTCCAAAAATTGCCAGGGATTCGCCATGTCAGATTAAACCTCTGTCTACACCACAAAGCTGTCATGACACACTTCTGTATCTGGGAATCCCCAACCTGGGGTTAGAACCAGAAAGTGGTGGGTGTCTCCCCTCCTGGTGTGGCTTGGACAGACTGCCCGTGTACTCCTGCCTGACCTGCCCCCATGGCCCAGATTCCACTCACCACAGAGACACATCCAGTTTCCACAGGTCTGGAGTGCCAGATGGCATCCAGGGCTCCAAGGCCGCCCCCACGCCCGGGCTGTTATGATGGTTTCCATTTGAAAGATGCTCTGGGCAGCAGCAGCCCCCTGAAAGCCCTTCCTGTCTTCCCTGTAGTAGTTCTCCGTCTTTCATTCTTGGTTGCAACTCTCCTGAGATTTGGAAGAACATAGAAAAGAAACTGGCAACCAACCTTGCTGTGGGCTTCATAACTTTGTGTGCAGTGCAGAGAAACTGTTCAACCATAAACGGTTCTTTAAACTTCTGTGCTGCCCCTGGTGAGAAGGGGCATGCAGCTGGTGGAAGACTGGTCTCCATCATCTCTGCTCAGTGCCTGCTGCAGAAGAGAACGAGGCATCTCTACCCAGCTGTGCTGTGGCCCGTGTGTGAAGATGCACAAGTAGCAGTCTAGCCTTGGAGTCTTTCTTTTCATATTTTTCCAGGCGGCTTCAGTCCAAATAAGGCTCTTACTCCTCCTGAGATAATTCCTAACATTTCTAAATGGGTTTCAAATTCCCTGCTAACTCCACTATCAGTAATGAGCATGATATTTCACAAGTGGCCTGGTGGATTGTACACATGCACATTATAAACCTGTACTTCATTTTGCTTGAAACCCTTTTAGGAACTATGGGAAAAGACTGTTTTATTAAAAAATCAGGGGTAAACAGAACCTTACAAGTGTCACGAGAATATGGGGGATTCAGTTCAGTTCAGTCGCTCAGTCGTAGGAAAACTTAAAAACACCACCACCAGCAAGATTCATGCTATTCCGCTCTCTCTTCGTGCCTTGAAATATTATGCATTTTGCTCCATTCACTTGATTTTGGGCTCCATTCAAGCAAATCACTTCAAGTGTCTTTTTCAGAAAATGGTGACTAGAATTTGTTGCTCGTTCTTTAAGGAAACAAAACATAGAATGAGCCCAATGAATGAGGGGAATGATCATGATACATGATACCAATTCAGTTTTAAAAATAAAAAAAGGAAACTGAAAAGGTTTGCTCCGTTTAGCTTTTTACACTATAGCATCTATGGGCAAATACTGTAACCTTACCAAAAGCCTTTTATAAGAGACTGACTCTAGATTGGTAAGCTTTCCGCTCCCACCCCCACCCCACCTTCTTATACAGGCTCTGTGTATTGTGATTTTATTTATGCTCCAGTTTGCATGGAATTATGTCCCTAGGTAATGCCACTGGAGCTTAGTCTTACAAGCTTCCTGGAATTCTAGTCCACTTCAAACAAGTGTTTAATATACCAAATTAAGATAATTAAATTGTGCTTTTGCTTTGCAGCACACAAAAAGCAAAATAATTCCTATATTGCCAAAACCATTTAAAATGCTTTGGGAAACGTTAAATTATCTGTAGGTGTGCAAAATACATACTTCGTTTAAGGGCAGATGGTTCCTTACATTGTTTTGGTCACTCCTAGGAGGGTGGATTCAATTAAAGTTGCCTGACAGGGGAAAATCAACATTCTCCAAATATGCAGGCAAAGCTTTCCTCCGCAGGGCAGAAGAATTGCTCTGCTCCTTGGCCTCCACCGCCAATTTGTTTTCACTTTTCTTCCCCACCCCCTCGAGTTCACACTTAAGGCCCATTTTAATGCTGTGTGTCTACCACCTACTTCCTGTTATTGTGTTTCTTATTATAGGCTGCCCTCCTCGGAACTCTTACCTTTTCATCATCTCCTAGACCTTTTCGCTGAGATGAATTTGCCAGAGGCAGAGAAAGACTGGATGGACTCAGCTCCTACCTGAGAGGGAACCACACAGTAACCTGTTAAAATAAACGATGACTGTCTGATGCACTTACCCTTGTGTTGTGGCTTTATTATTGTTTGAACTGCAACCCAGACTGGAACTTTTTTAAATTTCAAAGACTTTATTTTTCCTCCACATCTTTTTTTTTTTAAATCTAATTTTGAACCTTAATGTGTCGACAGATCTCTTTTACGTTATTTTTGGCTGAAGCCAGAAACAAATTGTGTTGAAAAATATTATGAGAGTACCTCTCCTTCTAAAATTTCTAGCCCAGTATAGTAGACTCCAGAGGTTTGGATTAATCAGATAAGCCTTAGAGAAACATCCACTGTTTTAGATGATCTGCTTAACCAAATCCCAGTACTGAAAGGCTAGAGGTTTTCTTATCTATCAATAGAATGAACTAACTGTGTATTAGGGGGGTGACTTAATGAACTGTGAGTTACATATGAAGGGAATCCAAAACCTCATAGTGACACTTTAAATAATGTGGCCCAAAAAAGTCATGCTCATGTACATTTCGAAGGTTAATATGTATTTTTCAAGATGCCTATCTCTGACATGAGTAAATATGAAATATACAACTGATTAATCTGATTATTCCATAAGAAAAGCCAAAAATACTATTTTTATCATACTAGTCATTTTGAGATTATTTAAAAACACATTTTACTGGTGAAAATTTGATTCTTATGTTCGGAGGAACAAGCAATTAATTTCTTGTTTCAGTTTATGAGCAGTGGTGTCCAGTGAACACTTTCTGAGAATCTGCCCTGCTGTGTTCGGGGCTGTGACAGTCATGGATGATATCTGGGTGAGAAAACAGTGTCCCTGCTCTGGAAGACTCCATCTCATCAGAGAGACAGACAAGTAAACACACGTTTTCACTATGAATGTGCTATGAGCTTTAACACAATTACGGGGAGGGATGTGTGAGAACAAAGGGGTTGACACTTAAAGCTGCAGGTGATGCCTTAAACTACACAGTGGTTGCAAAATCCTGAAGGTAAAGCACAAATTTCTGCCACAGTGGGTGGGTTGAAATGAGTTTTAGGAACTATATCATAGGCCAGGCGATAAGTTAGAAAACCAGATGCTATCATTCATTTTGTGTAACTTATTCTCTTGTACCTACATTGTACCATGTTCTATGCTAAAAACTATATACTCTGAGGGTCTTAGTTTTTCATGTGCAAAATTGGGACCATGTTAGGGCTTCCCTGGTGGCTCAGCTGGTAAAGAATCCACCTGCAATGGGGGAGACCTGGGTTCACTCCCTGGGTTGGGAAGATGCCCTGGAGAAGGGAACAGCTACCCACTCCAGTATTCTGGCCTGGAGAATTCCATGGACTGTATAGTCAATGGGGTTGCAAAGAGTCTGTCATGAATAAGTGACTTTCACTTAGATTTCTCTGAAAGTTAAATATATTAATCCACATAAAGCACTTAGAACAGTTCCCAGAATATACTAGTACAGTAATAATAAGTTGACAATTATTAGCTATTATTTTCAGGTATATACATTCTAACTGATAATGCTACCCAGCAAGATGGTGAGATGGGTGATCAATTCATTCACTTATTCATAAATATTTATTAAGCACTTATTATGCACCAGGCTTTGGAGATTCAAAAGTGAAATGAAAAGCTACTTCCATGTAGCTTGAGATTCCAGTGCTAAGATGAAAGAAAAGCAAGTTAATCATCAAACAAATAAATTAATTCAGAGGCCAATATGCATGGAATGAGCGTAACAGTGCTTGGGGGTGGGGGAGGCATTTCATAGATGGTCACTGTTGAAAGCCTCCTGGAAGAAGTGACAACTTGAATGTTAACATGGAACCAGCCCTGCAAAGACACCAGGTAGGAATATGCTTGTCTTGTTCCAGAACAGACAGAAGACCAAGGGTTTGGAATAAAGGTAATAGAGGGACAGAAACAGGGGATGAGGCTGGAGACACAGATTCATGCAGGGCCAGGGTGGGACTCTAAGAAGCTTGAATCATTTCATGTGTAATGGACAGTCTGCGGA